TAAATGCTTCACCACTGAAAGTTGGAGNATATATCAATAGGGAATCGCAGTTTCTTCTACAGGGTCATTTAAATGGTACAGAAAGAAGAGAAGGTCATCTTCTCACTAAATGCGTCCTCCGCCTTGCTTTAGCATCATCAACAAATAACCTATCTTTCCGTCGGATCTTGCCTACTATAAAAATGCACATCCTTGTCCCCCGCAAACGAGTCAACTTCTCTGCCTGCCTGCCTCAAAAGCCTGTGGTATTCAAAGACCTCCTCGGAACTTTTTCAAACAAATCAGGCGTGTCCGGCCTAGGAGATAATTGTAGGCCTTCGAAGCAAGGTGCAATTAGTCCTCTGCGTGAAGCATTCCACCCCGAAAAGACAGTCACCGAACGAGTAGTATTGGGTCGGGGCACACTATGCAAGAACATGATTAATTGTTACAGGGGGGTGGGAGGTTAGCCTGGGTGCGTGAGAACAGCAAATGAAGATGTTTTTTCGTCCTGAGAGAGGAGGCTCCTGTCGATTACACGCACGTAAGGGCATTTCTAGGCTCTGCCCCGCCTTCCCTTCCGTAGTGTGCGTCCTTACTTCAGTTCCCAGTACCTCCGCCCCCCTCCTCCCCCCATCCCTTTGTAGAGCGTCTAAAACAAATGCATCAGCTAAGGCCCTGTGATTTGCCACTCGAAAACAAAGCTACTGTTACCCGAATGGGTACACGCAGGACAACAAAACAGAATGGCGCCGACCAGAGGCAGTAAATCACTGTTCGAAAGATGAGTGGGTGAGGGTGGGAGGGAGGGAGGGAAGAATTGGTTTGGCGCAACGGTAACAACAGTCGACAACGACTACGACTTCTGTTCTAATCTGCTTCTCAGGCTGTCTCCTGCATTAACCACAACTGGCAAAGGGGGGGTTGTTATACAGGCAAGCCTTGACAACAGTACAGAAAGTCCATTGGCTCATTCCCGAAAACGGGAGATGCAGAATCTTCTTTAGAAGATGGCGCGATTTTCTATTGGCTACTTGCAGTACATTGTCCAAATTATGAAACGTCGATAACGAAAGTTGGGCGGGGGGACTAATTCGACGCATATTTGGGGTTTTTACTTTTGATAATTAATTTGGTTTGAGGTACAAGGAGCTGTTACCTACAGAGGAGTTCACTTCAGGACAATTTATTGAAGGAAAACAGGCGCCGAATATGGCAAAATCCGACGTTTCTTGATATGGCAGAAATTCCTTAAGCTATTAAACGCTGCGGACCAAAACTCCTTGTTTATGCGTACTGCACTATGAAAAGGCATTAAAATAAGCCAGAAAGATTGTAATTATATCTTTTCAGAGACCGGAAAATTTCGTTTGGCATTCATCAGAATCATGTAAAGGTATGTATGAAAAATCACGCTGATTTTGGGAAAAAAGGGCAGATTCAATTTTAAAAATTCTGGGCAAAACTGACTTGTAGGGCCCTCTAAGTATATCTTCCCCCCACCCAACTACCTAACACAGTTTGTGGTCAAATGTTTAATTATTGGTTAGTGAGTGTAAATGAATATTTGACTGTGGTGGAAGTGATCAAAAATATTAAAATAAAATTATATTCGTTTTATATACTAAAATAGAATAAAATTCAATCAACATAACCTTCTGTTGCGCGGGATATTAATGCTAATTAAAGGAAAGTCAATCTTAATCTTAATGCTTGCCGCCAGTGCGATGGATATCCGATTAAGAAGATGGTGACACAAATCAACACGACACTCGTGGGACTGCAGAATAACGATGCCGTCTCAAAAGTCGGACGACTAAATATAAAACCAAGCGATTCAGCCATGGCGAGATTCTATGGACTGCCAAAAGTGCACAAGCCCGGTGCTTCCCTGCATCCCATTGTCCCTTTACGGTGAACACCGACATTCAATCTGCCCAAATCGCTGTTCCGGCGTCTGAACTGTTTCACATGAGGCTCCGACACAACGGTACGCTCAGCCGTACCTTTCTTGGAAAGAATTAACGAGCTACACCTTAACGCAGACGAAGTCATGGTATGGTTTGATGTTACCTCACTCTTCACCCCAATTTCTCCAACTCTTGTGATTTGAACTGTGAGTGATCTACTTGAGAGCCGATATGGGGAGGGGACTAATAAGCCTACACGTGCGCATCTCATCCAGCTGCTCAAGTTCTGTCTCAACACGTATTTTACTTTTGATGGTAAGGTGTACGAACAAATCAAAGGGACGCCGATAGGTTCGTTGTTATCTGGTTTCCTTGCTGAGGCGGTCCTTCAAAAGTCAGAGACATTGGTGTTTACCGGTATTTTTGGCTCTGTATGTAGACGACACCCTCGTCGTCCTCGAGCTTGAAATAGTCTCCGAATTTCCCACGATCCTGAATTCTAGTTTTGCCGACATTTGGTTCATAATGGAAGCTGAGGTCAGCAGTCAACTTTCCTTCTCAGACGTTCTTGTCCACCGCAAAACTGACGGATGCCTAAAGACGACGGTATACCGAAAGGCAACCAACACACGTAAGGTAGTTATCTATCAAAGTTATCACCCATTTTGCCACAAAATATCTGCGTACGGACTCTCTAGAAAAGGGCCGAAACGCTTTGCAACGAGGCAGATGACAAAGCAACCGAACTTAGTTATCTTCGGTGAATTTTCAGCTCCAAAGGTTACATTCGCAGCTTCATATGACTTAGCAGACGATCGAAACCAGCTATAAGACCAGCGATTGAACAACCGAGAGTTCGGCGGGCAATACCACGCATCGAAAACGTTTCCGTCTCTTATAACCTCTAGGGATCGGTTTAGCCCACAGACATGAGACAGCAATAAGACGGCTGGTCATGAGACCAAAGGCCCGTCTGTCATGTCGAGAAACAGCGAAGGTCGTCTATCGCATTCAGTATAGTTCCTGTGAGGCGAACTACATCGGGGAGACCGGGAAGCGACTGCAGATCCGCAGGAGAGAGCACGCAAGGGCAGTGAGAAGGTGAATCAACTCCCATTGGTGACGGAACACTGTGCCGCCTCTAGACACACCTTCGCTTTTCAGAACGCCGAAATCCTGGGCCGAGGTAGTGACCAAACAGCCAGAGAAACGCTTGAAGCATGACACTGCACTAAATTCCATCAACCGCTGTATGATTCTCCCGGCGGCTTACCAGGCTTTACGATTTCGTCTTAATCAACGAAATCGCCCGCAGAAATGTAGGCGTGTCACGGCCACTAGCAACCCCATACCGTAGCAGAATACAGATGCGCGGGAACGTATACCAGACACCAACGCAGCCGTAAGGCATGCCGCGGGGAACTTGAACCAAAAAGACCTGTCGGGCTTGAACACAGATACACATGACAACTGTTTGTGCAGAAACACTGGTGGCGAGGTCGTCATTCCGATAGGAATGGGGACACTCGTATCGATTCAGTAGCTACCGACGAAACGCGTGCGAGCAGATAGAAACTGAGGACGAGAACAAGACACGCGGGCCTTGAACAACACTCGACGCAGACAAGTGTAATGACCGTTGCCACCCCAACACCACCCTCCCCCTCAGACGAGGTGAGAGTGAGAAAAACTGACCAGCAGAACGACGATTGAGCTCCATCCCCCGCCGGGCATCGGGCCCCAATAGACGCAGAACCAACCAGGCGCCAGTTTGACACCCATAAATACTGTGAGCCGTCTACAGAACCCACCTCTGACGACGGAAGCCTGTACGCTTTTAAACGTGATTGCCTCTTCTTCTCATGTAGATACAAACATACTGCTTACTTGATTTCAGTAGACCTTTTATTTACATTAAAGTTGGCTCCGGTTGACATTTCATAATGGAAGTGCAGTGAACGCTGCTAGTTCGCAAACGCTTCGCTTTTTAACTATTCATATTTTTGCATACCAAAGCGACCTATGACAATTTCGAATATTTAATACTTTTATGCAATCCTGTACCGTTTCAATGGAGCTTTTATGGGTTTCTGTAATTTACTTCAAATATACTGAGTTATACTAAAGGTCTCAATCATGACAATACTCTAATCTACCGTATCGATGGAGCTATGGCATGATTACTTTCCTCTCGCAATTTGAAGGGTTATGCATGTAGAAAGCGCATAAGTGAGAGCATTCACAAAAGAGGTGACAGAAAGAGTCCATGCGATGTAACTTACTGTTAGACGAAAACGTTGCAGGATCCCTCCACAGTTCTGCTTAAAGAGATAAAAAGAACAGACTCAGTGCTTTCGAAACGAAGAGAAGACGATGGCGTTTTGGTAGCATTCCAGTAATGAAGTCAGTTTGGAAATAAAGTTAACTTACGGAACCTGAGTACCTCCTGTCAAGGAAAATTTAACCTAGATCGTTCATTCCCCGTGAAAGGTGGATTATAGGACTAACTATTAAAAAACCTAAGGATTGGATAATCGGGAACATGATTCACACATTTACGTTTCAGTCTATGAGGAAACATTTTTTGGTTATTTAATTTTGGGAGTCAAGGTCAGTATGTATTTCGATTTGCGATAATTGTTTTATTAAAATACACTATGTAAATACACTTGTTAAAATACACTTGTTTAAATTCGACCTCACTAAGATTCCGCATTTTAAGTACTGTTCTTAACTCCTGCCTCTATTGTATCTGATTTGTCCGTCTGGGCTGGCAAGATCGTATTTTATTTACATGTAAAAAATGTTTTACTAGTTTAAATAGAAATATTAAAATTTGGCAATTTTAAGGAGACTGTCTGAAGGCCTACAGTACACGTTTACTAAGCAACCGCAAATTTGAAGACTGGCGTTTAAAATTAAAACAAAATGCCTACTTAAATGAATTAGTAGAAATTATTTTACTGCAGTGTCAGTAACAATGCTCACATCTTCGCTCTGTCCATCTTGTCGAAGACGACCGCGAAGATGGCAGTTGGCTTGAGTGTGGCCCTGCATTAAACAGGACGAACAGTACTGGGCCGGGCAAGAGTTGGCAAAGTGGCCATCAACACCGCAAAGGATGCACACCGGGCCGGTCTAAGGTAGAATGAAATAGGGAAAAAATCGACGATCAAGAACAATGAGACGTTGGCCATTATCACACAGTAGATTTCGATATTTTAACACACCAAAAAGTATTCGAGCAAACAGACAACAAATTTGATGCAATGCATCACAGCTGAGTAATTGCATAGCCCCTGCTATCCCAGTGGAGGACGCAGGAGACTCTAATTAAAAGTAATGTCGTCGGAGACCTTGGAGTTAACTTGTCCATTAATCGACTCGCTCGCTCGCTCGCTTTTCGAACTACAACTTTGCGTTGGAAGAGGAAGTGAGTACATGAGTTGAATATACATGCATAGGGCTGGCAAGTATGTGATTGCTTACCTGCAAAAAATAACAGTAGCTACCTCGGATGCACGCGATGGAATAAATAAACCCGGAGAAATGCACAAAAAGATACAGTGGAGATAGGCGGCTGCTAGAAACTTGGAATTATCTACCATCTTTGTTATAGCCCAGTCTATTCTGACCCGGTTATTAGGCAGAAAAGGGCAAGAGAGCGCCTCTCATAGGCAATGGCTTTATTTAATAGCACACAAAGACAGTGGGGCTTGTGGGGTCTTCCTTCACCTCGTCCACTCCGGCATATTTATATGGTTCCGGTCTTTCTAGAATATTCCTAGCGTATGGCCTGCTTCCAGACATTCTGGAATAATCTTGAC